ACAAAACCTAACCACATCACCCTCCTCCCAAAGCTGGCCAAATCCTCCCCAACCATGGACTCACCTCACTCATTCAATGTCCTACCTCGATATTTTTCCTGGTAATGCCGCAGTGCCCATTACAGCTCTTGACACTGCCAGACAGAATACCCAGCAGTTCCAGAGGGTTGGACCTCCTTCCATTGAGGAGCAGACGTCCTACACTCCAATGAACAGGGCAGATTTCTTCTCAAACTCTTTTTTTCCTGAATAAGGGCATTGTTTAAAAATCCCCAGTCCTCTGGCAACAACCCAGAGTCTACTGATGCAACAAACAGAACAGAAGTAGCCCATTCGGGCACTCAAGCCTCCCCTAGCAGTGAGATCATGGCTGATCTGTGTGGGTTTTGAATTTGACATTGCCATCTAACCTCATAAGCCCCTATTGCCTTGCCCAACAAGAATCTATGTACACAAAATACGAGAGAAACTCAGCAGGCCTGACAGCATTTGTGGAGAGAGAAAGAGTTAAACCTTTGACTCCAATGACACTTCATCAGACCTTTGAACAGTTCTGATAACAGGTCACTGGACTCACTGTTCACTGTCTCTCTCTCTCTCTCCCCTCAAATGTTGCCAGACGTACTAAGTTTCTCCAGTACTGTTTCAGATGCTGCACTTTTTTTTGTTTAAGAATCTATCCACCTCCACCTTAAAAAATTTCAATAGGCCCACTCGAGAGCCTTCTACCACAGAGATTCAAAGTGGTACAATGAGATAAAAAGATTTCTTTCTTTCTGCCCTAAATTGAGAACCCCTGATTTTAAAACTGTACACCATAGTTCTGGACTGACCCAAATGAAACATCCTTAATAGGTCCACTTGTCAAAATCATTCAGGATCTTATACACTTCAATCAAGACACTCCTTGCTCTTTTTATAGTAGAGTTTACAATCCCCGTCTATCCAACCTTCTCTTGCAAGGCAGCTCACTCATTTCAGGCACCAAACAAGTAAATCTCCTCTGAACTGTCAACACTTCATATCCACCATTAAATAGGGAGGCCTAAACAGTATACAACATTCAAAATAGGACTCAATGCTGATGTACAACATCCTTACTTTTATGTTCCTTTCATAATAAAGGCGAGCATTCCATTAGGCTTGATTACTGGTTGTACCTCTGTACTAGCTTTCTGTGACTCAACCTAAACACCTTGATCTGAAAGCACCCAGAAATTCTGCAATCATTCTCTGCTTAAGTAGTTACGGTACGAAAAAGGAAGATAACAAGAAAAGTGAACGCAACAAAAGCTTCTACAAATGTTTAAAAAAGCAAAGACTAGAGAGAGAGCGCAAGCAGGAGAGAGAAAAAGAGAGGGGATACAGGGTGTTAATAGTAGATAACAAGAATGAAAGTTTACAGCCATTTGGCCTGCAATTTCCACTTCCAGTCCTGCTACTTTATTCACTTCAAGAACAGAAGGCATATCCAAAACCACCACCTCAAAATTTTAAACTCAAGTTCCTCACCTATGTTCACTTTCACCATGACCTGTTCCCTGGCAAGAACAATTTAAACAAAAAAAAAAAAAAAACCACACCTTTCATTTCATACCTTGGCCATACCCTTGCCTCTTGCGCAAATCCCCTTCATGCCCCCTAGTCAGTCCAATTCCTCTTATCACCCTTATAAATAGTAAAATACGACTTCTGGATTCCCTTTAAAACAGCAGCCAGGAGTCTCTTCTCATATCTACTTCTTTGCTTCTCATTTTCCATTTCAACTTACAAATCCAGTCTGAGTGCCAGGTCAATTATTCATAACAGATGTTTGGTGAGCTTTACCTCTCATCATCCAGGGGCTCTGGATTTGTCGTCCTACCTTCCTGTTGGTGGGAGCATACTTTGACTGCAACCGAACTACTTACCAAGAAGTCGGTCAGTTACAGTCTTATCTACCGTCCTTTGATTTCAAAAGTATCTGTGTCAAATCCATTCTTACTCGACTGAAGTTGAATTTCTCCCTGTTAGTTTAGTTATGCTGACTCTGGATTGTTTATTGCCCTTTTCCCTCAAGCAGTGACATACTGAACAGTGCAGAGGTATCAAACTTTCTAATTAAACCAGCAAATCAATCAATTTGCCTGATGGACTGTTATTCAGGACAGGTCATACCACATTAGTGTCATTAATAAGAAAATACCTGTCAAACAAAAAAAAGAGACTTATGCTTCAACAAGTGGCAAAAAAGTGCAGTGCTAACTTAAAACTAGCACTTCAGCCAAAAACCCTAACCACACATTCATTTACAAAGAAGACAGGCAAAAACAAAAAAAAAAAAGGTTTGAAGCCAATACTGTAGGTAGATAAATATATAAACAGGGAAATTTTAAGGTGACCAAGCCTTCAAACAGAGGGGATTATTTCTCAAAAGAAAAAACAAAAGAACTATGGATGATGGAAATCAAACGAAAACAGAAATTGCTGGATAAAACTCAGCAGGTCTGGCTGCATTTGTGGAGATAAAACAGAGTTAATGTTTCGGTTCCAGTGACCCTTCTTCAGAAACACCTTTTTCAGGTCATTTCTAAGTTCTTCTGATTTTTGACAGTGATGATAACGCGTGCAGAGTGACAGGCAATTTTCAATTCAATAGCTGATCTTGTGAACCCAGGTCTTTGCTTGTGTTAGAATTCTCTCTTTAGAGTTGCCAGGTGTTAAGTTTCAAGAATGAGAAGGTCAAAGCATTAAAACAGTGGGAGCTTTATCATGAGGTGCTCACGCTGCAAGTGGGGAGAGTAGAGCGTGCAGAACGTCTGCCCAAATCAACCGATGAGTCCGATTACATGATGTAATGACGACATCAAAGTGGCAGTCCACCACACTTATGCAACACCAGGTTCTTCTGTCTTTTCAGTCAAGAAAGGCAAGAGATGCTTCTTGTTTGCAGACTTCTGGATGTCTGAGTACATCACATTCACACAGTCTCTAACAAACCACCACTGGGCCAATCTGAAGGGTGTCGTTAGACACTTTTTCCTTAACTCAAAAATTACTTGCGTGATTCCATTTCAAAATATCCATCTTGCTGTTCCAAACAGTAACAATAATAGCTGACGAATACATCACACAATTCAACCCGATCTTCGAGTTGCAGAAAAAAATAAAAAAAAAAAAACTTTCTGGTACTTTTAAAAAGCTATAGAGCAGTATCTAACTGCCATTTTCCAGCGTACATTGACCCTTTACACATAAGCACAGACTGACGATAAAATGAATACTGCCCTCTAACTGTTTCCCGACTGAAACTTGATCCCTTTAACCCACGTCATTCCCGAGAACCAGGTATAGCAGTACCTCCTCTCATTAGACAGTGGAAGATCCTGGCAAAGGCCCGCTGTACAGAAAAATTCAACATCCTCCATAACAAAATGTTACTAATGGTCCTCACCACCAGTAATATGATCAAACCCTTTGACTTCAAGTGAGGAGTGAAGCAGGGATGTCATCACCCCTAACTTTTCCTCCCTCTTCATCATCACCGTTCTTCATCTTGTCAAGAACAAGCTCCTCAGCAACGTGGACATTGTCTAGAGGATGGACGGGAAACTTTTCCGCTTTAACCGGTTCAATCCAAGTAACAAACAGCACCAAGCGCATTCATGGAACTTCAGAATGCGAATGCAAATGACAATGCCACCTCCACTCTCGCAGAAGGCAAATCTTCAAGCTTCACAAAAGCATTTCGAAGAATGAGTCTCAAACTCCAATCTTTAACCAATGTTTCCCAGATCATCCTTCCATTAAGATCAACACAGAAATCCTTCCAAACTGAAATGCTTCCCATACCTGGGAAGCTACCTCTCACCAAATCAGCTAACACTGAAAGAGAGATTCAACACTGCATCCAATCTACAAGCACTGCCTTCAGGTGACTAAGGAGCAGATTCTTCAACAACCATGGCATCCATGTTGATAACAACATCTTTATGCATAAGGCAGTCATCCTTCCGACTCTTTTATATGGTTTTGAAACCTAGACTACATATAGAAGTCACCTCAAGATGAATTTCTTCACCGAGGGTGATTAATCTATGGAACTCAATGCCACAGAGGGCTGTGGTGGTCAAGTCATTGGGTGTAGTTAAGACAGAGATAGAAAGGTTCTGGATTAGTAAAGGGGATTAAGGATTACAGGGAGAAGGCAGGAAAATGGGGTTGAGAAACATATCAGCCATAACTGACTGACCTAATTCTGCTCCTACCCTTATGGCCTTGTAGTATCACCTCCAGACTCCACAACCCCACCAGTGAAATTTTTTACTGAAGGTGAGAGAAGTTAAGCATTTCAGTGAAGCAAACTTATTCCTTACCTTTCTCAGATCCCATAAATAAATTCTGTAAATGAAATGCATAAGAAAACAAATCGTAATTAGTCCTAAAATATGCAAGAATCCTATCCTATTGTAGAAAACAAAACACATAATATTCAGTTCTTGCAGCGTTTTGACTGCCCTCAAATATTATAAGCTTAAGTCTTTGTAGAAACAAATGAATACCTATGATTACCGAACAACTGATTCCATTTATCCCCAAATATTAGCTATTTCATAAAAAATTACATATTAAACATAGTGGTTAGCACTGCTGCCTCACAGCACCAGGGACCCGGGTTTGATTCCACCCTCGGGCGACTGTCTGCATGGGTTTCCTCCCACCAGTCCAAATATGTGCAGGTTAGGCAGATTGGCCATGCTAAATTGCCCCAAAGTGCCAAGGGTGAAAAGTGTAGGGATAGGGCAGGGGATGGGACTGGGTGTGATGCTCTTTAGACAGTTGGTGTGGACTCGATGGGCCAAATGGCCTGCTTTGACACTGTAGAGAATCTATGGTTTCTCTGATTCTATGAAAAGCTGTAAGTTCTCAAGCAGACTACTGCATGGTATTAGCACCACAACAGGAAAGTTGAGACACAATGAGAAGCAATTTAAACATGCCATTTACAAAACTGTAAGCAACTGTATCATACTATGAACATAAACCACAAACTATACAGAAACACGTTCCATACATGTTTTTCAGTCACTTGGGTTACTTTTGTGACCCATTCATACTCTGTTTATACGTCTGAATTGCATACAGGAAACTGTCAGATCATAGATCCTGAACTCTACAATTATGCCAGTTATACATCTCAGAACACAAAAACACCTAGACATTCTGACAGTATAGTCCTGCAATTAAATCTTTATAATGTTACCAAAAGGACAAAGAACAAGAGTAGCAACTCAGTTTTTTGAACCTGCTCTACCATTCAACAAGGTCATTCTTGATCTGATTTAAATCACAACTCTACATTTCTGCATTTTCCCGATGATTTTTTCATCCCCTTTAAAATCCCTAAAGTATGGAAGAAGGCTACTTGGCCCATTGAGTCCACACCAATCCTCCAAAAAGCATCCCACCCAAATCCATCCCCCTACCTTTTGTCTCCAACCCTGCTTTTCCCATCACTAGCCTACACTTCCCTTGGACACTACGGCCAATTTAGCATGGCCAATCCACCTAAACTGCACATCTTTGAACTGTGGGAGGAAACTCCAGACAGACCCCGAGGGTGGAATTGAACCCGGGTCGCTGGCACGGGCACTAAAGGCACCAGTGCTAAAGACTGAGCCACTATGTCGCCCAGATCAAGAATCTGTCTTTGCCATAAAAATATTTTTAAATTATGCATCCATGTCTTTTGCAAAATGAAAATCCATAGACTTTCAACCCTCTAACAGAAAAAATATTTCCTCATGTGTTTTAAATGGGCAACCTCTTACTTTTTAAGTAATGACCCTTAAGTCAAGATCCTCCCACAAGAGGAAACATCCTTTCAAAAGCCACCTGATCAAGTCCCCTCAGGATTTTCTATGTTTCAATTAAATCACCAGAGTCTCTTCTAACCACTGGAGCTTGGAGGCCTAGTCTATCTTGGTTTTCCTTATAAGGCAATCTGCTCATTCCAGGTATTCGTCTAGTAAACCTTCTCTGAGCTGCTGCCAACGCATTAACATCCTTCTGTAAGTATGGTGACCAGTACAGTACACAGTACTCCAAATGCAGTCTCACCAATGCTCTGTATAACTGAAGCATAATCTCCCTAACCCTGCATTCAATTCCCCTACCAACCATAACATTCTATTAGCTTTCCTTATGACCTGCATACTGACCTTCTGTGATTCATACACTATGTTGTGAAGTTGGTAGAGTATTTGTAAATTGGAAGGCAGGATGTTACCATTTTACAAACAAATTCTAAACAAAAAGGGGGGAGGGGGGAAAAAGTAGTGTGGTACCTTTAAAAGACAATGTGCTTTTTCTAGGCTTGGAGTTTAAAAAATGTCTGCAAGCAGCAGCAGGCACAGAGTTCTTGAAATTGAAACGTTTGTATCAAAAGGCTGTATGATTACCAACCCATAATCATGTTGTTATTAAGACAATCAGATTGAATATTAGCCAAATAGTTTAAACCAGGCACTCAGACTAAAAACCAAGTAAAGTTAAATCTGTTGGCTTTGACAACCTAGGACTAATCCTATTGTAAGGAATTGACAGGTCATCAAGGGTATAATTTTACAAGAGGGTATTTGAAAATCAGAGTGAGAGCAACTACTGTTAGAGAGAAAATCACTGGCTCTCACAAAACCATTGTCTGATTAAAGGTACAGCAATGTATGGCGCTTACAACAGATATCCTCACTCTGCAAACCTTCAAAGCCAAGATGGGGCTCACAAGCCATTTGTGAATATACAGCCTACACTGACATATCATTCCCACCCAAATGCAGAGTTCCACCACATTAAATGTGAATTTTTAACTCCGTATTGAATCCACAGCTTGGAAATTCAATTAATTGTGAACTATGCTCCTGGTGTTTAATAAGGTTCCCCATGGTAGGCTCATGCAGAAGGTAAGGAGGCATGGGATAGGGGAAATGTGGCAGATTGGATTCAGAATTGGCTGACCCTGAGAAGACAAAGGGTGGTAGTGGACGGAAAATATTCAACATGGTGCTCAGTTACGAGTGGTGTACCACAAGGATCTGTTCTGGGTCCTCTTCTATTTGTGATTTTTGTAAATGATTTGGATGAAGGAGTGGAAGCGTGGATTAGTAAGTTCACGGACGATACGAAGGTGGGTCAAATTGTGGATAGTGCAGAGGGCTGTCCTAGGTTACAACGGGACATTGATAGGATGCAGAACTGGGCTGAGAAGTGGCAGATGGAGGTTAACCCTGAAAAGCGTGAAGTGATTCATTTTGGAAGGACAAACTTGAAAGCAGAATACAGGGTTAACGGAAAGATTCTTGGCAGTGTGGAGGAGCAGAGGGATCTTGGGGTTCATGTCCACAGTTCCCTGAAAGCCGCCATCCGGGTGGACAGAGTTGTTAAGAAGGCATATGGTGTGTTAGCTTTCATTAATAGAGGGATTGAGTTCAAGAGCCATGAAGTTATGCTCCAGTTATACAAAAGCCTGGTTCGGCCACATCTAGAGTATTGTGTCCAGTTCTGGTCACCTCATTACAGGAAAGATGTGGAAGCGTTGGAAAAAGTGCAGAGGAGATTTACCAGGATGTTGCCTGTGGAATGGAGGGAAGGTCTTACGAGGAAAGGTTGAGAGAGCTAGGGCTTTTCTCTTTAGAACAACGAAGGATGAGAGGTGACTTGATAGAGGTGTAGAAAATGATCAGAGATATAGATAGAGTGGACAGCCAGAGACTTTTTCCTTGGGTGGAGGTAGCTATTATGAGGGGGCATATTTTTTAAAAGTGAGTGGAGGTAGACATAGGGAGACATCACAGGTAGGTTCTTTACTTGGAGTGTGGTTGGGGCGTGGAATGCATTGTTGGAGAGGGTAGTGGAGTCAGCCTCATTAGGGGCATTTAAGTGGCTATTAGATTGGCATATGGATGATAGTTTAAGGTAGGGGTGGAAGTTCGATAGACCTTAGGATTAGGGTAAAAGTTCGGCACATCGTGGGCCGAAGGGCCTGTACTGTGCTGTATTGTTCTATTGTTCTAACACTCTTAGCTAATCTTCCTGATACAAGAATTCGATGAAGCAAGGTGCTCCTGACTGAAGAACAGCGGAGAAAGCACCGAACATTCAGGAAGTATCCTGGCTGTAATTGAGAAACTAAGTTTTAAGCTTTTTCAAAATTAATCTGTTTTATATAAGTGAGAGTTGTATTTATTTGAACAGCATTCCATTAGAATTTTATTTTATTTGGGAATAGTTTGTAGTTAAAAGGAGGGAATTGTTCAGTTTGTCAGTAGTTCTGTTAATCTGTTCACTGTTAGAATTAGATAAATAAATTGTTACTTCTTGGATTACAGAGTAACTATCAGGAGTTCATTTCATTTAACCTCCCCTTTATTGGGAGGCGAGAGGCAGGTTATACCACTTTTCACACTTTCTTTAACAGATTATGTGGCAAGGTGAGCTTCTCTGGATGTTTCGGTTTTAGTTTTGTATTTGGTTGGTGGGGGGGGGGGGGGGGGGGGGGAGGCGGGGAGGTTTTGGTGGGAGATCAACCTCCACTTCATAACTACAATATCCAGATTTCTCTGCATCCTTGCACCATTTGGAGAAATGTTTCTTTTTATTCTTTCGACCAAAAAATGAAACTTTTCACACTTTCCTACATTGTACTCCATTTGCCAGAACTTTTCCCACTTACTTAACTTATCTATAATCCCTTTGTAGGCTCCTAATAACCTCTTCACAACACACTTTCCTACCTTTATGTCAACAAATGATCCCTTCATCCAAATCATTTATATAAATTGTTTAAAAAAAAAAAGAGAAAAGAAAGAGTTAAGGCCCGAGTATCGAGCCCTGTGGCATACCATTCATGACATCCTGCATCACACAATATTATTAAGTTTGTTTAAAAACCAGTCAGGCTAAAGGCAATTGTCCAAATTGCTTCGTTATTAATAGATTTTGAAGTAGGAGAATAAAGCAATGCAAAAATCTTTAACTGCTGTTACATAATATTAAAAAAAATTGAAAAACATGTAAAAATTTCTTACTATGGAAAGTTTTTCCGTAGTTGTGTATCGTGCAAGTATATAGGTGCGTTTTCCAGACCATGGCTCAAAATCATTCCCGACTGCTGTATCCTCTGCTTTTTCACGTTGTTTCTTACCAGGATCCTGGGTAATAACACAGAAGTGGACCCATCAAAGCAAGTTAACAACAACCTGTACCTTATACAATGTCTGTATGGCATAAGCCTGTCCTGAACAGGTTAAGCTTTAATGTTCTGAGGAAGAGTTACTGGACCCGAAACATTAACGCTTTTTTCCTTCACAGATGCAGCCAGACCTGCTGAGCTTTTGTTCCTCATTTACAGCATCCACTGTTCTTTCAGTTTTTATTAAGCTTTAATGAAAGCAGGTCAGGTAAAAATGCTGCAGTGACAAGGGGGCCAGTGAGATCAGTTGGCTAAATGGTTAACATGGGGCTCTAACAGCACAGGTTCATTCTTATTTTGGCTGTGGCAGATTTAGGACCTGCCTCAACAACTTGAAAGTGAAAGATTTTTTGAAAACAGTTTAATGGTTTAATCCCAGATTGTTTTATAAATTGCACTGGAAAGAAAACAACTTTTGTCCAGAAACCAAAATACACCCCTGGTACTGTCCTCAAAACACCACTCAAAATACACTCAGAATCCCTGCATCTCAGTAGGTTTAAGCTATTTGGGACTTTTAGCCTACTACTTTCTGGAGCCATTATACACCCGAGCTCAGACATTCTCAGCCTCTTCAGGGTTTTATCTCAACATTACTGGTATGGGACTAACACCAACTCTTCACTTTAAGACAACAATTCATCCCAAATCTTTCCCTTCTCAGCAACACTGATCTACCAGCCATCATAGTACAAGGGCTACTCTTTAAGCTCTGGCATTTTTCTTGATATTAAATAAAACAAGTTCCAGAAGTCACAAAACAATCTAAGATAAACAAGAAAATCCATTAGTAGTGCACAAAACCCATTAAAGCCAGGCCTCCAAACTATTTTGAAAGAAATCACGGCTACAGAAATACTTACAATTAAATTTCAGACACACAGAAAACTGACAGTTTATCAATGGGACAGCACAGTAGCCCAGTGCTTATTACTGATGCCTCACAGCTTCAGAGACCCAGGTTTGATTCCAGCCTCAGGCAACTGTCTGCATAGAGTTTGCACATTCCCCATGTCTGGACAGGTTTCCTCTGGGTGCTCTGGTTTCCTCCCACAGGGATGTGCAGGCGAGGTGGATTAGTCATGGGAAATGTAGAGTTACAGGGATAGGGGTAGGGGTAGGGGGTGGAATGCGCTTTGGAGGGTCGGTGTAGACTCAAACGGGCCAAACAGCCTGCTTCCACACCATAGGGATTCTATGAACTCAAAAAGCTAAACCCAAGCATTCAATAAATTACTCTTCAATCTACGATACAGCACCATGTCTGCTATTTAGTAGTCCAAACACAACATTTCAACTGGGAGGACTCAAAGGAGAAAATGAACATTCCAAATTTACTTTAAAAACTAATTATAATTAACAAAAATAAACAGTAAGATTTAAAATTCATTAAGAACATTCAAATATTTGTAATTTGCTGAGCTTGGCTAAAAAATTAATCAAAGAAAGAATGGCGTAGTCAACAAGTTTAAAAATACCATGTTGGCATTGCTTTTTCCTGCTCCCATGATAGCAGATGTCAGAGGATCTGCTGTTGCAACAAACTGTGACAGAGGATCACTCCCATCCAGCATGCTGCTTAGAGGGTCCATTATTGAACTTGAGGAAGATGATGATGTAGAAGAAGTACTTCCTTTCCGCACTGTTTTCTTAGTTTTTGACTCGGTGACCTACAAAAGGATTGTCAAATAAATGTAATCAACTCTCCTGGATTCATTTCTGCAAGATGTTGTGCCAGTGTGAATGCAGTTGGTGCTTCAATTTGCATATTTATCAAAGTACAAAAAAAAAGCCTACATATGAAATCTTAACCAAAATGTTTTCAGAGTCTCTTCTGCTTATCTACCCTCAACTCACTGAAAGTTATTCTTTCTTGACTCCCATCTGAACCTTTCATGGTTTTGGAACACCTCCACCAAATCTTCCCTCAGCACAACAATCCCAGCGCCTCCAGCCAATTCATGGAATTGCACTCCCATGTTTCATCTCTTCTACCCCCTCTCCTTTGCAACTTTGTTCCCAACCCCTTACCCCCTCCAGACATAGTGCCGTACTAAGACTATATTTTGTGGAAGTTTAGCATAACCTGCCTTTTCTTTAAAACTCTATGCTCCCATTTATAAAGCCCACAATTCCAAATGCTTCATTAAATGTTACCCCCCCCATCCTGCTACCTTAAAATCTATACACGAAGAGCCCCAGGATCACTCTGTTCTTACACTCCTTTTAAAATTGGACCATTGAGCAGGTATTATTCCATTTCATTCTTCCTACCAAAATGGGTGTCTCAATTTTTCTTTGAAGTTCATTTGCCATACAATGCCATCCCACCAGCCTTTCACATCCTGTCCAAGTCTACTGCTCGTTTCCTATTTAATGGAGCTTCCAGTTTACCTGCCATCTATAAATGTTAAAATTGTGCCCGTTACTCAAGCCCAGGTTTTGATTAATATTTTAAAAAAAAGCCGTGGTCCTGGCATTGAACCCAGAGTAATATCAGGCAGGCCTCTTGGTCTATAGAAAAACATCATTCATCACAACACTATTTCTTAACCAATTTCACATGCTGTTAGGTGTCAACTTTACGAACAAGATTATGTGACATGTTAAAAAAATCTTTTGCAACTTTATGTGCACATCAAGTGCATTGCTGTCATCCACCCTCTGTTACATCAAAAGCACAAATTGTTAGAAACACAATTTAGCGGAAACAAAAATCAGTACCAAGCCAAGTGGCTGTTAAATCTCTCTCTCTCTCTCCGATTATGTTTCAAAATGTTTCCCAACCAGCAAGATTAACCTGACTGGCCTGCAGTTACCAGGGATTATCTTTGCTGATTTCTATGAACAAAATGGCAACATTTACAATCCTTCAGTCCTCTGACACCACCCCAAAAACCTAACAAGTGGTAACCATAATTCATACCCTTCCTTCCTTCAGCAATCCAGGACTTTCTTCTGGGAAGTTTTCACTTTCATTACTGTCAGTTTTTCTAACACATCCTCTTTATCTTATTCAGTGCTCCAAAACTGCTTCATTTACCTTAGATTTGGCAAAGAGGCGAAGCCACATTGGATTTGGTACTGGGTAATGAACTAGGCCAGGTGTTAGATTTGGAGGTAGGTGAGCACTTTGGTGATAGTGACCACAATTCCATTACATTTACTTTAGCGATGGAAAGGGATAGGTATATACCGCAAGGCAAGAGTTATAGCTGGGGGAAAGGCAATTATGAGGAAATTAGGCAAGATTTAGGCTGCATAGGATGGAGAAGGAAACTGCAGGGGCTGGGCACAATTGAAATGTGGAGCTTGTTCAAGGAACAGCTACTGCGTGTCCTTGAGAAGTATGTACCTGTCAGGCAGGGAGGAAGTGGTCGAGCGAGGGAACCGTGGTTTACTAAAGAAGTTGAATCTCTTGTCAAGAGGAAGAAGGAGGCTTATGTAGAGATGAGGCATGAAGGCTCAGTTAGAGCACTTGAGAGTTACAAGTTAGCGAGGAAGGACCTAAAGAGAGAGCTAAGAGGAGCCAGGAGAGGACATGAGAAGTCTTTAGCAGGTAGGATCAAGGAAAACCCTAAAGCTTTCTATAGGTATGTCAGGAATAAAAGAATGACTAGAGTAAGATCGGGGACAGTCAAGGACAGTAGTGGGAAGTTGTGCGTGGAGTCCGAAGAGATAGGAGAAGCACTAAATGAATATTTTTCGTCTGTCTTTTTCCTGTGTGAATACTAAGACAATATTGTTGAGGAGAATACTGAGATACAGGCTATTAGACTAGACGGGATTGAGGTTCATAAGGAGGAGGTGTTAGCAATTCTGGAAGGTGTGAAAATAGATAAGTCCCCTGGGCTGGATGGGATTTATCCTAGGATTCCCTGGGAAGCTAGAGAGGAGATTACAGAGCCTTTGGCTTTGATCTTTATGTCGTCATTGTCTACAGGAATAGTGCCAGAAGACTGGAGACTAGCAAATGTTGTCCCCTTGTTCAAGAAGGGGAGTAGAGACAACCCTGGTAATTATAGACCAGTGAGCCTTACTTCGGTTGTGGGTAAAGTGTTGGAAAGGATTATAAGATTTATAATCCAGGATTTATAATCATCTAGAAAAGGAATAAATTTGATTAGGGATAGTCAACACAGTTTTATGAAGGGTAGGTCGTGCCTCACAAACCTTATTGAGTTCTTTGAGAAGGTGACCAAACAGGTGAATGAGGGTAAAGCGGTGGTGTGGTGTATATGGATTTCAGTAAAGCATTTGATAAGGTTCCCCACGGTAGGCTATTGCAGAAAATACAGAGGCATGGGATTGAGGGTGATTTAGCGGTTTGGATCAGAAATTGGCTAGCTGTAAGAAGACAGAGGGTGGTGGTTGATGGGAAATGTTCATCCTGGAGTTCAGTTACTAGTGGTGTACCTCAAGGATCTGTTTTGGGGCCACTGCTGTTTGTCATTTTTATAAATGACCTGGATGAGGGCGTAGAAGGATGGGTTAGTAAATTTGTGGATGACACCAAAGTCGGTGGAGTCGTGGATAGTGCGGAAGGATGTTGCAGGTTACAGAGGGACATAGATAAGCTGCAGAGCTAGGCTAAGAAGTGGCAAATGGAGTTTAATGCGGAAAAGAGTGAGGTGATTCACTTTGAAAGGAGTAACAGGAATACAGAGTACTGGGCTAATGGCAAGATTCTTGGTAGTGTGGATGAGCAGAGAGATCTCGGTGTCCATGTGCATAGATCACTGGAAGTTGCCACCCAGGTTGATAGGGTCGTTAAGGCGGCGTACGGTGTGTTAGGTTTTATTGGTAGAGGGATTGAGTTTCGGAGCCATGAGGTCATGTTGCAGCTGTACAAAACTCTGGTGCGGCCGCACTTGGAGTATTGCGTACAGTTCTGGTCACTGCATTATAGGAAGGATGTGGAAGCATTGGAAAGGGTGCAGAGTAGATTTACTAGGATGTTGCCTGGTATGGAGGGAAGGTCTTATGAGGAAAGGCTGAGGGACTTGAGGCTGTTTGCATTAGAGAGAAGAAGGTTAAGAGGTGACTTAATAGAGACATACAAGATGATCAGAGGATTAGATAGGGTGGACAGTGAGAGCCTTTTTCCTCGGATGGTGATGGCTAGCACGAGGGGACATAGCTTTAAATTGAGAGGTGATAGATATAGGACAGATGTCAGAGGTAGGTTCTTTACTCAGAGTAGTAAGGGCGTGGAATGCCCTGCCTGCAACAGTAGTAGACTCGGCAACTTTAAGGGCATTTAAATGGTCATTGTATAAACATATGGATGATTATGGAATAGTTTAGGTTAGATGGGCTTCAGATTGGTTTCACAGTTCGGCGCAACATCGAGGGCTGAAGGGCCTGCACTGCGCTGTAATGTTCTATGTTCTATGTTCTTGGTAAGCAACAGATTAATGTATTCATTCAGCACTCAGGCAGCAGCCCTCTGTCTCTCCCAGTAGATCTTCATTTCGGTCCCCAACTGACACCACTGCTCTTCCACCAACCCTATTGCTGTCAATATACCCACAAGTAATCCCAGGCTTCCCTTTTATGTTAGTACAGGAATAGGGTGATGACTTTCCCTTTAACGCTGTTACTGTGCTTTGCACTCCAATTTACATTTTATTATTCAACTGCCATTTGTCACACGCTGCCTTTTTCTGTTTCAACCAACGCTAACACTTAACCCCTTGGGGAAATTTACTTGGGACGACAGGATCGCAAACAGCAGAAAACTGGTTCAACGTGACAACATCATCTTGCCTTTTAAGTGTGACCATCAACAAACTGACTTGACTACTTATGATTATTTTTTTAAAAAAAGGAGACAGAGCAATGTTATTGAGAAACGCACCGTAATAAGTTTCAGAGGGTGGAAGTCACCAAACTCGAGAGGTACAGCGTCGAGGCAGCATGATTTTAATTCTGCTTTATAATTTCTGTCTCTGGAGTGCCTTCAAGTAAAAACAAACAGAAAACGAAAATCAGATTTAGTTGTTTCTCTTTTAAACAAGTCACATCCTTAGCACACATGCACATTTTAGTCACATTTCAACGTCCACCCAAGGGTGAGCTGATCCAAATCATTCCTCTCTCCCCTCCCCTCCCACCCCAGCCTTCAAACAAACTGCAGGCACACTGCTCAGAATCCAACTGGACAACAATTCTGTTTTCCAGATAAAGTAAATCAATTCTAAGAAAAAAAAAAGTGAATTAAAGCAAGCCATATTATAACTGATAATTTACAGAAACAGACTTTTAAAATTACCCAGGAAAAGAAAAAAACAAACTACTATATCCACAGCAGCTCACTACCATCTCAAGGGCAATGGAGGACAGGTAAAAATGCTGATCCTATCAGTAGAACTCACACCCTATGAGAGAAGATTAAAAAAAATGAAAGGGCAAGAAACTGAGTTGTACAATCTGTAAATTAGCTAGTCTTGTATATAATACAGAAGTAAAACACTTCTCATCCACAGCAACAGTCGCTACAATAATCCATGATATAAAATCAGTTGTAGAAGGACTCAACTCAGATCAAGGTGGTTAACCAGAAGTAGAGACAACTTCTCAACCTCTAGTCACCTCTTGTTTAATCTGAGTTTTGGCAGGGAAAGAAAAGACTATATTCAAATTAAATCAGTCTGATAACACCGGTTTTGGCATTAGTTCTGTTAGTTTGAAGTTTGCTCATTTAATACCTAGTTTCAGATATCCATTATGATCATAAAGACCAAGCCTTTGAATAAATTAACCAAGGAGCTAATACAATATGAAAGGATTCAAGTCTGATCAACAGTTGATCAGGTTGAAGGTCAAGGCCTGGCGATAAGCAGCTCTTTATCACAAAGGTGCTTAATAAAAGTGATCTCAGGAATAAAAAGATCATGGACTATGAAGTTGTTTTCAACTGAGGTTATAACATTTGCTAAAGCGTCAAATGACTGTGATGCAGAAGTGCCAAAAATTTTTCTTTGGTGAAAACCCCAGAATGAGAAGACAGGATTTGCAGGGGTACTAGCCGGTAAGGTCAATGGAATAAAATTAAACACGTCGTAACTGTCAAACATAAAAACTATGCCAAACACCAAGTTCCTCGCAGAAGCTCCTGGACACACTCACGACAACTAATGGATGAACGATGAAGGAGTGATTATGGGATCAGCCATGTATGGCGCAGTTGCCCAGGCAGTTCATGTACAGAAAGCAGCTCTTAGATTAAGACGTTTTTAGATTCCAAATAATCAGTGATCAAGAAACATTACGTAGGAAACAACACCACAAATGAATTAAACCACTTGATGTCATGATTTTCAAGAACACACCAAAACTTTTAAGTGAGGATTCACAGTCGTCAGACAAATAAAATTGGCAAAGATTGCCTGGAAAATGATTTTTTTTTTTTTTTTTTTTTTTTTAAAAAAAATAGGTTACAACTTCTTCCTAGAATAAGATGAGATGAAATAACAAGGTGTAGAGCTGGATGAACACAGCAGGCCAAGCAGCAGAGGATCAGGAAATCTGAATTTCGGGCCTAGACCCTTCTTCAGAAATGGGTCTAGGCCTGAAACGTCAGCTTTCCTGCTCCTCTGATGCTGCTTGGCCTGTTGTGTTCATCCAGCTCTACACCTTGTTATCTCAGTAGGAACTGCAGATGCTGGAGAATCTATCTCCTAGAATAATATGTTGGGAAGCCATGTAAGGACGGTTATTTTCAATCTAGCAACGTGCATTGAGGCAGGATGACTGAGTAATCTAACAGTAAAGGATTTTGAGGAAGTGACTGCAAAATACGGAATTTCATATAACATTGGACTCCAGTTTGTCTCTTTCAAAAGAAAGAATTTTAAATTTAGCCAATTACATTGGTAGGAGGAGACAGCTGACTAAGATTGACAAAGTAAATAGACTTATAAAAAGTAAGCTAGCAAATAACCAGTCAACAATATTTAAAACATTCAAACAATCAAACAACTCTCTCAGCTGGAAAGATCCATTTTTCTAGAGCAGTTTAGGACAGTGTTGTTGTACTTCTGATGCCAGTAAAATATGGCAGGGTCTGCTTTTAACTATATTAACTTTAATAAGATAGATTGACTGAGAAATACTAAACTCTACAGACATTATTTGAGCCATAAGTGCATTTATTTCATTTCCTGAAGTGTCCCCCTGCATTTGGGACCTCTTGGAGGACCAGAAAAGATTTGCATCTTGAGCTGGTCTCCTTATAGAAATGTAGCTTTAACATCAATTGATCTGCGCTCCCAAGTATAAATTGCTTATAAAGCCAAAAGAAATTTATGATTGTTTTTCCTTTACAAGCAGTGAATCTCACATCCTAATCCCCCAGTTTTTCATTAACTTTGCATCACTAGCCTGGTTTTGGCTTTACAAGTCCCATCAGGGGACATATTTGTGGTATACACCCACACTGGTAATGGGGCTGGTGGTTCCCTAACTGGTACCTCTGAACACCCCAGATTCTCTCTAGATTTGTAGTTCATGAGAAATGTTACTGAAAGGAAGGACAGTGGATACACAATAGCAAATATTCACAGCACGAATGGGAGAAAACAGAAGTGGCCAAACAATATAAAAAAACATACAAATTGGTAAGAAAAAACAATATACCTGAGAATTGGTAACGGTTTATAACTAAGCAAAGGAGGACTAAGGAACTGATTAAGAAGTGGAAAATAGAGTACAAAAGTAAGCTTGCAGGGAACACAAGAACTGACTGCTAAGGCCCCTATAAGTATGTAAAGAGAAAAAGATTGGTGAAAACTAACGTAGGTTCTTGTACTCAAACAGGAGAATTTATAAATGGGGAACAAAGAAAAGACTGATGAAGTACATTCATACTTCGCTTGCTTCTGTGTTCACAAAAAAAGGGCCACAAATAACACATCAGAAATGAAAGGGAACGCTGGGTTTAATGGGAGGACAGAACTGAAGCCATTCTTTATTAGTAGAGAAATGGTATTGAAGAAATTGATGGATTTAAAGGCAGATAAATCACCAAAGGCCAGATATTCTACATCCCAGTGTACTTACAGAAGTGGCCTAGAAACAGCAGATGTATAGATGGTCATCTTCCAAGATTTTTAAACTATAAAACAGTTCTTACAAATTGAACAGTAGCTAATGTAAACTTACTATTTAAAAAGGGAGATAGAAAACAAACAAGGAATTAT